TTCTTTTTCTCTTTTTATCTCTTTTTCTTTCTTTCTCTCTCTTTCTCTTTCTCTCTTTCTCTTTCTCTCTTTCCTCGTTCAATTTGAAATTTCGCCGCGTTAGTGTCTTCTCCGCATCGATAGATCGTAATCGAATAACGATTACATTCAACAGGTACATAATTCTCTATCCATCGACCGTATCTCGACGTTTAATTGCGATTTATATTTGCGTATCGTTGCATCGCGTGTAATTCTTACGTAATTGTCCTCCGCGTACATCTTATTACAGTATTTGTGTACAGTTTGATATAGAATCGTTTTGCATATATGCGTGTATATATAAATCTATATATACTTTTTTTTAATGAGAATGAAAAGTTGGATGACAAGATTTATTGTGTATTTATGTATCGTTGTGTAGCGTGTAATTTTTACGAGTCTCGACATATATCTTATTACGGTGTGAAGTTTATATGCAAAGTTTTGCATATATAATTTTTTTCTTTTTTCTTTTTTTTTTTTTTTTTATGAGAAGAAGTTAAATGGCAAGGTTTATTAATTGCTTTCACGGCACGGTTAACGTTTAATTCTAATTAGTAGTTTATCATTTTTGTTATGCTTATTAGTGTCTTTGAATATATTATGAGGTGAAGGCGAATGTTCATGCAAATTAATATTTCTTAGAATATGATTAAGAAAATTAATTAAATGTCTCTGTTCATTTTATATGTATTTTTTTCACATTAAGCGCATATTCTGTACATTCTTGTATTTTATAAATTTTTCTCGTAGATGGATAAACATTTGTAGTTTATTTATTTTCTTACATACATTTTTTACAAGAATTGAAAATTTAATAACAAGATTGAGCGAAAATTTAATTGCTTCTCGTGTAATTTTTGCAAATATCTTGTTGAAGAATTCGATGTAAAAGATCTATCTACATAATTTTTCATAAAGACTGAAACTTTAGTAGCCAAGATTTCAATGGCGTAAGAAATAAACGTATTGTAAGAAAATAAAGTTCCGTAAAATGTTCCACTTCCCTCCTTTTGAATATATTCACTACTCAAAACGTATGCCAGAGTCATCCATCATTCTTTCCAGCGTTCCTGTTTCTTAGAATGACTGTAATTCTTTCGAATAATGTTCTCTTTTACGCCATCAAGCTTGATATATTATCCCCTTAAAAAACAGGTTCCATTCAAAATATCTTTATCTACTCATATAAATAAAAAATAAAATATTGCAATTTTTTCAGGATTAAAATTTTAAGCTTTTTTCAAAATATATAAAATAAACTTGTACTTTAATTCATTCGTAATTAAATCAAATAGATGATTCTTTTCCAAAGAATCTACTTTTTCATATAATTTAAAGTTCAACATAAAACAATTACAATCTTCTTAATTATATTTATATTTTTCTCCATTTATTTCGCCTAATTTCCTTTTCTCTTAAATTTAATGTTTATATTTTCGATACGATTGCTGGATTTCTTCGAATATTATAATCTTGTTGTGGCCATGACTCATTCTTTTTTCAATACAAATATTTAAATAAACACTCGAATATTCTCAGAAATTTTAAACTATCCTCGTGTTTACCTCAACTGTTTTGCCTTAACATTGTTTTTCTATTACCTTCTCGTATCCTCGATACGATTATACTCGAGAGTTTTACTAAATTTTGCGCGCAATATTCAGCGAAAGCGAGAAATAAAACTCGATGAACAAATAATTTCGATCTTTTTAAAATTTCAACTTGCATTCGTTTCGCCTAGAGTTTCTCTATTTGTCCGAGAATTAACGTGATACGATTCCTTCGACACGATTATGGTTGCCCGAGTTCGTCGAAATTTTGCGTATAGTCCTCACGGGGAAACTGTTGGGTCGATAGAACCACCACGGTCGGAAAGCTTCTCCAAGGGGGAGGGTCGATGGTGGGTGGAATGACGGTGGTGGTGGAGTGGCGGTCCTATCGACCGTGTGCCAACGAGAAACGTCGTCACCGCACCATAAGATTTCCCCTTACGATCTTTCCTTTGCGATGGTGTGTCTGCAAGGATATATATTTTCTACCAGCCAGTTGAATATTTTCTTCCTTCCTTTCTTTTCTCTCTTTTTTTCTTTCTTTCTTTCCGGATCAATACCGACCACCGGTAAGCAACGATGCCATCAAGGGGTATTCAATTGTACTTTCGCGCGGGATAGACATTCGTCTTCATAGGGGGTGGGCTGCAATTCTGTGGAACTGTCGGGGAATATAGGTTTTCCTTTGAGTTATGTAACGTGTTTCTTACTTTGAAGTAGAGGGGAAGAGCATGGAATTACTGAAGAGGGTGGTGGATGAAAGAGTTAAGTGGTTGGTTAGAGATCGTTTTTTGTGTCCGTTTTATTGTGTGAATGTCGTGGGGGATGTCGTTTCGAAATGAGTTTAAAGTAGGAATGGAATGTCTTTCTATGTGCAATTATCGTTATTGTTTTTTTCATCGTTGTTGATTACACCAATTATGTAATAATTGATAATTTCGAAATTGGTTTCCAATTATTATGAAAGCTTATTATGGAAAAAAAACTATTGATGCAAGTGGTGAAGTTTTTCAAATTTCGACGCTGATATTCTCTACGCGTTTTTTATTTAATATTTTATTTCGAACTTATTTATATTTATAATGTTTTATTGTCAATCGATCGAATTAGAATATCAACAAGCCAAATATTCATTTTCCATAAAACTTTGTATTCGATGAAAGCCCTTTTCAATTTGAATTTTAAAGTTCTATTCGATCCAAAAATTATTTCACCCTCCTGAATTCTAAATGCTTCCTTCGATGCTATTAATTCTTGTCCTTTATTAAAAGTACGGCCAATTCTCCCCTAAATTCTGAATTCCCCATCAATAATCCTCATACTCTAACCATCCTCGGAATTACCTTAAAAACCCCTCAAAAAAGAAAAAAAACGAATCGCTTTTCATGCATCATATACATTCAATTCTTCTTCAATCCATCATTTTCTTCAGAATAAAAAAACCTCTTTATAATATATATATATTACAAAGAAATTTTTATATATATATACACACATGAAATCGAAGAAAACGATAATAAACTTCGTATTCCAATCTCATTCAAAAACCCTTTCAAAAGTGAATTGCTTTTTAAAGGGTTCATCAAACACATAGAAATAATTCCAAGAAAAGAATTCTTCTCGAAATATATTTTCAAGATATTCATATATGAAACCGAAGAAAAATCTGAAAAATTCTAAAAAAAAAAAAAAATTCCCCCTCGACTTATCGAAGCTAAACAAACACTCTCCCCTTCAATCTCTCTTCTTCCATTATTTTAGAATCTCTCAAAAAAATCTCCGCGAAATATTCGTACATGGAAGCGGAGAAAAATTTGTTTTGGTTCGGCGACGATTCCTCGAAGGCAAAGTTCGCCCCACCAAGTGGGCGCCGAGAGAGGAGGTCGATTCGTCGCGTCGATAAACACAGAGTTTCAGTCGTGCCTCGTCTTTTCGCGATAACGTGTCTCCCTCCTTAGAAATCGAGGGGAACGAGGTGAGTGTTAATTAGCGTTTTCCCTGGCCGCAAGAAAAAGAAGCGGCCACGATGTCGAACGAAGAAACGACCTCGTAAGTCCTGTATTGGTCACTAAGGCGGGACGGCCGAGGGCTCGCTTTGTTCTTGGATCAATTAAACCGTGCTCGTGTTGGATTCAAAGCCTCTCCACTTCGATGGAAACGGTGAAGTGGTAAGGCCGATCGCGGAGAGGAGAGAGAGAGAGAGAGAGAGAGAGATTTTCTCGTGTCGCGGGGAATTCCGCTCGCGTCCACCACAAGCTTCTCGTGCATAACGTTCGACCGTGCGGAGAAACGACGAACAAGTTCCTTTTTCCGCGCGAGTGGCTTTCGAAAAACCGACCGTTTCCTTAAGCGAGCTGCAAAATAATGACGTACTCGCTCGTCCACCCGTTTTTAGCTTGTCGGTACACGCGTTAAGGGTACTTTGCACAAATTAATTAAAAAAAGTAAGTGTAATTTTTGATCAACGTTTTTTGAAATAATATTGAAACTAATGATACGAAATTGGGTTTCCACTGTTAGAAGTGGAGAATACGGAGTTATTTCTTAAAAAAAGGAGGGAGGGAGGGGAGGAGTAGGGACGAGTTCCAGAACTTATTATCACTAGATCGTCTAAAAAAAAATTATTAGAACTTATCTCTACAGTCTTATCTATTATTTTTTAACCCTTTGACTACATTCGAGGAGATAAATTAGGAGAGATTAAGAGAGAATCGAGTAATTTCAGCGTTTTTAATTTTTAATCGAGACATTTATTCTAAATAACCGTGACATATATTTATTGAATTAATTTTCAACATCGCGATATACATATACACTCTCTCTAGAATAAAAACTTAAAATATTCAATTCATATTTTGCCCCATATATAATCTCATAAAAACCTCGACGATTGATTTCATTCAATCGATCACCGATCAACTTCCAACTCGACAATTTCTTCTCCCTTTCCATCTTCCAATACACACACACAGACATATACATACACTAATACACACACCAATACACACACATGCACGCGCATTCAAAGAGCAACCGAATCGAAGAGGATTATTAAACGTTTCCACGATCGAATATAATATTGGCTCGAGCATTCATCATCGACGCGTGATTAAAGGGAACCGCGGAAGATTTCGAGGAAGCATCGACGATGCATCGACAGGTCGCGAGATGAGGCTTCTTTTCCCGGAAATAATGGAACAAACGTACGCCTTGTGCCCGAGCTACTGCTGCTGCTGCCGCCATCCGCGTTATCCCGTCTAATAAAGCTCGCAATCCAGTTCGACGCGTTCAGACATCCCCTTCATCAGCTTTTCATCATCGTTTTGCGTTTTCCCAGTCGAGATGAATGAGGCTTTCTTTTTAGCCGGCACACAGAGAGAGAGAGAGAGAGAGAGAGAGGAGGCGGGCGCACTCACGCATACGCACACGCACATACGCACACACAAAGGCCACGAAACTCGTGTTACCTGTAAATTCGCATTTACCTGAAAGCGTCGGCGCGAAATAATCGCGGAAAAGATCCGGCCAACGGCGTCTGCGACGGAAAATCGATAGGTATCTCTCTGGTGGCAGGGGGCAACATTCGTCTAGAGAGAGAGAGAAAGAGAGAGAGAACGATTAAAAATCGTGTGTACGTATTTGAAAACGTTGAACGGCCGATGGATAAGCTCGGATGATCGCGATAACCGCTGTCAGAGGAATTTTACACGAGATAATTTTCGAGTCGGGGAAGCTGGAGGGAGCTTGAGATTGAAACGTGTACGATTGACGGGGTAAATGGAGAAGGGTTGACTTTTGAGATGATACTCGTAAGTTTGAAGTTTCTTATATGCGCGTTTAAGATTCGATTTGAACAGTTTAGAGCATGGATTCTCGATCTAGAGATTCTCGAGGGGGTTAATTCTCTTTCAAGGGGGTGGTATATGATTATTGTGATTATTAAATAATTTGTATTTGTATTTCGTATATTTTTGAATATTTAAAAAATGGAATAATTACATTTAAATATATATTTTATCTTATTAAAAATGCAATTTTTTAATAAGATAATTTTTACGTAATTATTATAAGAGAGAGAAATTGCAGGATATTATAAAATGGAGTCGAAAAGTTTAGAAAGGAATTGATTGTGATATAAAAATAATCACAATTTTCTCTCGGGAAGAAAGTTGCAGGGAAAATAATTAACACATGAGCGGTTGTTAAAATTAACTGTGATCTAAATTATTTATATAGTACTTTTTTATATATGACCTTGTAATAGTAGTTAAGAGTTAATATTAATTTTCTTGGAACACAAACGCTCTTAAAGGTTTATTTTCCAGTGACATGATTTCTATGGAAAAAGAGGCCAATCGAAGTTTTTTATACGTGTATAAAAAAAAAAAATAGTTGGAAAATTGTGTCGATAATCGGTGACCGTCGCGAAATCACAGCACATTGTAAAGTTTATGGAAGCATAACGCGAATTAAATCCTTATAGAGAACTATTATAGAGTGTAATAAATATAGCAATCTCCTAAATTTTCTTTGCATAATTTTGAAATATTTTAGCTAAAATTATTTATATAGTTGCAGTATTTTTTATTTAGATACTTAAGAGGATCGGATGGAAGAGTAAGATTGATTTGTAGATGTTAGAAATCAGAATTTATTTTTCGATATTACACAATAACGTATCTGAAGAAAAATGGTAAGAAGATTAAAAAAAAATCTCTAGAAAAACACGAGAAAACATGTCTAATCGCATAGAAACCACTGCTTATCTCCAACGATTTTGTCGAATCTGATCAAACGCTACCTTGATCATGTCAAATAGTAAACAGGACTTGAATAAACAGATAAGATAAACATCATATATTAGACAGTCTTTTTATTGATTTACAAACCGGTTACTATTTTTCCCCCCTTTCTCATTTCCTATCTGCTTCTTGTCCCTTTTTAACAACGCATCATCTGACCTTATTTATACAAGGTTTTTCTTCCTGTTTCTGCTCGTCGAACACTGTTTGCTCAACAGATTTTGTTCAACAAGAAACAAGCTTATATATGCTATACAGAATATTTTATAACAGGTAGCCACGCGTTCAAATATTCGATCGAAATATCTATAGTATTCCAATTCTTTTTAATTTTTTTTCGTTTAAAACCATTTTGTATTCATGTCTGCAAGTTTTACATCATAAAATTTGTTGGAAAATTGCTTTTGATTAATATTATTTACATACATTATTCGAAAATATATATAATCTTTTCTTTTTTTAATTAAAATCATTTCGTATTCGCAGATTTTATATCGTAAAACATCTTTATAAATTGCCTTTGATTAATACTGTTACGATTGTAAATAACGTCCAATAATAATTTAAATTAAATTATCATAACGAGGTGTTGCTTTCCCTCACTTTTTGTTACATTTAAGAGATTATAATTTTTCCGTATACTCTTTTACACTCCTTGATAATTTTCTGATATGCAGAAAAACCGTGGTTTGAACTTGTTTGAAGAGGTTGTTATGTTAATAAAACTATGTTGTTCAAGTTATATATACGCCTCTTCGACATAATCTTATCATTATTCCTTATAGCTTCACCATTGCAAGATTAATTTTAAACTACTTTAATTCATTTCTTTTTCAATGTATACTCAAACCCAATATATTCATATCTTTATGAACATAATTGAAAAAAATGGATCTTGGAATAGAAAATTTAATTTCATCTTTCGCTTCCAGTATATCATTTATTATTCATCTCGAGTATTTTCCACATTGAACGTTATCTTCTTCTTTAAATTTTCCCATAAATCCACGACGGGAACAATACCAGCAGAGAGAGACAGAGAGATGCTTAACGATGCCCAACAATCATTATAATTCCTTATTCCCAACCCCAAGAGCCCTGACATTCGTTCAGCAACAAATCAGATACCATTCCAGCCAAGGTTCACCGCGGTGAAACGATTCGAATCTCGATTTTCAGCGGACGTGACCATTGTCTCGCCGTTTACAGCGGTGTAAATTTTATTTTGCGGTCGCGGTCGCGCGCACGATGCACACGCGCGCATATCGGTCGTGCACACGGAGAAGAGGCCACTCTTCTCTCCTCCCTTTCCCTCCTCTCTCTCCCCCTCTCTCTCTCTTCTTACCAGACGAGGGCCGGTTCGAGCGGACGAGCGGGAAAGTTTATCGCGAAGCAACGAACGGTTGACAGCTCGGTGATGCATCGGTAGCGATTTGCATTGGCGTCGGCCGCGTGGAAACCAGTCGGCCTCTCTCTCTCTCTCTCTTTCTCTACCTCTTTCCTGGTCCTGTTGGATACCTCGTCTCTCCTCGAGACCCCGCAAAAACGAGCCGTGAAGGTCGGGAATTAACCGCTTTACCGTTACCGGCCGCATAACTGGAGACACCTCTTGGCGACTGATCCCACGAGCTTTGATTAAAAATTCATTGGTTTACGTTTCGAGCAGTATTGATGGTTATTTTATAGATGCTGTTATTTGTTTCTCTATTTTATTCCCCCGTGTTGTGCAATGGAAAAAAGAAGTAATAGCTTGTATTCTCGTATTTCTTTGGTTAATGTGTTGAGAGCGGTGTGATTATTATGAATGGATTCATAGTTCCAGAAAGTTTATTATTTTGTATGTCAGGAATAATGATAAAAAAGAAAGTGGTAAGAATTATGTCGTACGTCAAAATGTAATTATTTTATTAAAAACATGTGGAGATAAATAGGTCATATTTTCTATTCTCTGTATGCAATTCCTCAAATTCGAGGAATTAGATTTTTTATCATTGATATTTTAAAAACCTATTATTTCGAATTATTAACAATTCTTACAAATATATTTGTATTCCAGGTTCCCTTTCTCCAACAAATGAAATTCCACGAATGAAACGAATCACGATTTGACTAGAAAAAAAAAGACACCCGGTACAACCTCGACCACCAAACTTTCTTCCAACCATCCGGATCGATCCTCGCAGAATTGCACCCCGAAGATAACTCGACCTAATCCAATCTCCCCTTTCCAGGAGACCTCGAAAACCCTCCAAAGGATCCCGGATTCCCCGATTAAGGAACCAACTTCTCCAGAACGGACACGGAACGAAATAAATTCAGTTGGATCGGTATAATATCAGGCAGGGAGAGAGACGAATTTCGCGACCGCCGTGAATTCCACGGATTCCTTTCGGTAACTTCTCCAATTTGTCTCGCGAACCACCGCTTCCTAAGCGCTTCGAGAGAGAGAGAGGAGTCGTTTAGCCAGCGGCGACTGGTTTCTCTCTCTCTCTCTCTCTCT